TGGTACCTGCCTGGTGCCCCTAGCCCTGACCTCTTCACCCTGGGGGAGCAACAGGGAGGGTTTCTGTGTGCGTAAGGTCCATCTGTCAAGATTAATGCTGAGCCCTCCTTCCCCCCGTACTTCCGTCTTTGAAATCACTCCCACCTCTACAAGCCTGCCGCTCAATGACAGATAATTTTCTCAGCAAGGAGCATTAAGGGAGATCAAATACAAAGTCCAAATGTTTTTTTGTTTTTTTTAAAGCAGAATGTTAGGAGAAATAGGAGAGGGGATCACGAGAACAGGCAGAAGATGGAGGAAGCTTCAGCGAGCTGGCGGCCAGCCTCTGAGGCCTAACCACAAGGGCCTAAAGTGGCTCATTGTGGTGGGACTGGCGTCTGCGTAGACTTGGGTCCCTTTACTTTCTCCCTTTTGGCCCAAGACTGATCCACTTCGTCCAGGCCAGGCCCTCACTGGAGAGTTGGAACCCACCAGGGAACAAAGCTCAGCCCGCTAAAGAAATCCTTCCTGCACTCCTCTGACCGCCCATATGTTCACTCTTCATCATCTCTCTATGGATTTAGGTATTTTCCTTAAGACGGAACACGTGCCAAGAAGAGGATTTGCCGCCTCGCACTGCAGGCTGACAAGTTACTTGGACACGAGTTGGCCTCAACATTGGTGTACATATTTTGTTTTTTTTAATAGGGGGTGGGGGGGCAGCAGTCAAACGTTAGATGAATTCTGTTACAAGGACGATGTTTTAACACTTTAACAGTTAAAGAAAAATTTGTGTTATTTTGTCCGTTCGTATTTGTTTAACTATCACTGAGAAAAAACATTTTCACCCAATGGACAAGAAGGAATCACGTATGCTTCCAGTGGGTGTAAAACTCAATTCAATACAGTCAACATATGTTTTTTTGTTTTTTTTTAACTGTTCATGCGTCCCAAACCACAGACCGAATTGCTGTTCTGTATTGATTTGTGTTAGGAGACATGTGAACAGTAAGATTTTTTGTTGTGAATGTTGGACTTGGCAAGAAACAAGGAATTAAATGAGTGGGAGGGTGGAGGGGGTGGAGGGGAAACGAGTTTAAGGATAGAAGAGCAAGCGGAAGACATCCAAAAAAGTGTCTGTCAAAAACAGATTTCCCCCCAAAAAAATATCATCTACATCAGAGAAAGTCAAAGATGTCAAGTACTGACCTCTATAACATTTCTGTTCAGTAACCTTTCCAAGAACAGCCCATCATTCTGAGGTTTCTTCGTGATTAAAGACACTTTGCCAATATGAAACCAGTTTTGGTCCGGACTCATAGTGCCAACTGATCTAACGGAGCCGTTCGTTTATACTCTTCTCCAAGAAAAACAAAAGATATCCAATCCTTGGAATGGGAACTGTAGAGTCTTTCTGAATCTTTTCATCGTCTCAGTGACGGTCCTTGACTTCCCAAACTGAGGGAATGGGCAACACTCACCCTTTCCCATTTTGGCTTCGCTGAATGTTGGGGCTATTATCTCTCACAGCGTCAATCGAGGGCAGCAGAGGCTATTAAAGTATCCCCTTGCCCAGGAATAACAATCTGAGGCTGGGGCTAGAAAGTTTGGAGCGCACTAGTCACAAGTCGTGAGGGATCACGAGACGGCTTGAGTTCTATTTTAATTATTTTAATAATGCACCATGACCGCCATATGCTACTGAGAGGGAACCTCAGATTGATTCGTGACATTGGCTCAATTGACGCGGGGAAGCACATTGAACTGAGCATTAATATCAAGATCGGCAGCAAGAGCAGGGTTTCCAAATTCCACGTGAAATGGCATTTAAGACCAACTTCCCAATGCTCCAGGTTGTCCAAAGTCGCTACAGTCCATATTTGACGTGCATATGTGCTCTTAAGAGTCCTAACTAAATCCACATCAACTATCGTGACTGTGTGAGATTGGCATCCATGGTCTCAACATTTAGGAACAAGTAAAGCTTGTCAAGCTTTCAGGTCATCCTCATCAGAGTACGTGAGGGAATACGGGCATTTTCAAACCTCGTTAGTTTACATACTGAATGCAGCACCAGATAAAATGCATTTACAGTAAGCGTGAACCAATATGAACGACTTAAAGAACGGATGGACGTCATACCGCATCACAACTGCAACTGTGCTAACTGACAAACGACAAGCACCGGCGTCAGTCAGCAAAGCCAACGGAGAAAGTCCACCGATGCGCGACTTTGAAGCGACTTCTGTGCACAGGCTTTAACATAAGTGTCGAGCTATTGTTAGAGGCAATAATGAAAAGGTTGACTTGCATCGGAGGAGTCAGGGTTGTTTGACCTGCCCTATTCAGTAAGCGGCAGAATGATGTTGCGTCACTTGCGTCTGTGCTCGCCTCACGGCTCAAGGCTGCTTTCAGTCACCGACTATACATCCTGTATGCTTGGGGAAATGCACAGTATGTGAAGCTCAATTGGATGGATGCTTTGGTTGGGCTTTGGGGGGGCTGCTTTGCTACAGCTGGGACAGGGTGTGTTGAAACTGTGCAGGGTACAATGAACACTAAGGACTTAAAAGGCATTGTTGAACAAAATGTGCTGGCCTAGCCTCAGCCAGAACTTGCAGTTCTTCGAATGGCAAAAATTACCAAAACACATTAAAAAAAAAAAAAAAAATCAAGAATGGTTAAGGGAAAAAAAAACAGTGCACTATTCTGAAGTGGCCTTCTATGAGCCCTGATGTAAATGATCATCTTTCGATAGGAGTTGGAACATGCAGTCTGGAGAAGGAACCCTTCAAATCCGAAATAGCTGGAGAAGTTTGCACTCGTGGAGTGGGCCTTAATACCAGTCGACAGGTGCACAAGACTCATTGAGAGTGACTGAAATCTCTGATTGCAGTGATTGCCTCGAGAAAAAAAAAATCTGATGGAAGCAAAACGTCTGGAAAAAAAGTTGAGAGTTCTTTATTTGCTCATATAAATATTGTATAGCATGTTGGTCTAAAAAGTATGTGGTATAAGTTTGGATTTCCTTCAAAGGTTTAGATGTTTCCTGACAAATGAATGTTTATGAGACTTGCAATTTATGGTATTCTGGTTTTATTTACATTTTATACCGCATCCCAACTTTTTGGGCAAGTGGGTTATATTGTAAGGCCTAATAATTCCAAAGCACCACTTGCATTGCAATGTAGCCCCCAAGAACACACACTCACAGCTTGACAGTTTGTAAACCAAATATCTGTACGTGGTGCTCACAATCCCCAAGGGCCTTGGTGTGCCCCAAGTGGGACCAGTCTGGGGAGTGTCGGGGCCCTTGGTCTGGGTACTTTCCACACCCTCGATAAGGCTTCAGATAGTATCAGGAGGCAATGCTTGTCGCCCGGGGCCATGAGAAGCGAAGTCCAATTGGTTTATGAAAAATGTTTTGTTTTTTTTCCAGGCAGACTTCACCATCATTTTATCAAGCTAAAACATCAGTATGGATAAAGTGGGCTAATCAGATCAGTGCCAGGATGTTCCCATCGGAGAGCGCGGATGGAATACGTGAGCTGGGTCAGGTCCAGCAAGGCCATTTAAATGCCCCACAGAAAGCAAAGAAAAACAAGTTGCCGCCCTCTTTCCAGAAAAATGCATTATCTGCACGGAGAGACTCAGCGTGCGCTCAGGACTGCAGTATGCGCATTCGTGTGGAATTGTAAGCTTTTTTTATGGATTTTGAAAATGGCAAGGCTGAAGCAGAGTTATACAACACGCGTGCATGCGCAACATGCTAAAACAAGACACGCAGCAACGTACGTCTAAGGGCGAACCAAATTGTTTTTTTCCACCAACACAAAATAAGCTAGTTCCCTCAATGAAGTGTCTTTATGAGGTGGGGGAAGCTGTAAACACATTAAAAAATAGAGGGGGGGGGGGGGGGTTCAAAATAGAATGTGAAGAGCATTCCAGACTAACCACAAATTGTCGAGTATGAGAGTTAAAATGTCACGTCTGATCAAATCAGGTTCTGAATCGTCTGACACTGAAAATATAGAGAGAATACACATCCTCTGCATCTATTTTGGATATATTTGAAAAGTCATGGCCATCTCCAATGTGTTTGATGCGGATAGAGCAGCAAGAGGAATCCTTTCACTAGATGGCACTCTTTGCTTTGCAGAGGAACGGCTGCTCATGGCTGGTTAAAAAGAAAAAAAAAAAAAAGAAGCTTAAAATCACTTCCAAACAAGAGAAACACTATTTGTTTATGCCTTGTCTCCAAATGGAATGAGCTCCCAATACAATAAAACACGGAGTCTTTCACAGCGGGGGAACTAAAATATTTGCGTGTGATGCTTATCAATTATGTTTGGTGAAAGAATTGAAGGGTGCCGTGATCACTGTTATGGCGTTCACTAACACGACTTGGCTGCACGTTCTGTGTTTATGGGGTTTTTAACTGTTTGTGTGTGCGTGCGTGCAAGAAGTTCATGCGCACCAAGATGACTGGCCAGTGAGGTAAACACAGCGGAGAAAATGACAGAGTCAAAAAGGTGTTTATGAAATGGGGGTGGGGGGGGGGCGCGACACTGACACAAGGCAACAGACGCTCAGCAATAATACGACCGCGCAAAATGCACACACGAGCACACAAAAAAAGGAACTAAGAGGATGGACTGCAAAGCGCCGGCCCCCCTCCCACCACCATCTATCTATCTCCGTCTCTATGGGCCCATTTAGCTGGTCTGCTTGGCTTTGACGCTGCCACAGAGGTTAGACTTAATGACACGTTGGGAAAGAGACAGGGACGTGAGGGTGGGGAGCGAGCCAGCGCAAGTGGGGCAAGCTGAAAGGAAAGAGATGGGGGGGAGCACGGATGTGAGGTGCATGAAAGGAGGGATGGATGAGGAAAGACGGGAATACATAACAGCCTGGCTGACATACATGACTGCATGTGGAATTCAACTGGTGCGAGAAAAAGTATGTGATTTTTCACGTTTCGATGAGAAGCCCTCTGAAAGTAGATACGAACAAAAACTCACCAATGTGAAGCATTCCTCCACAGCCGCTGATGATGTTCTGAGATGAGCTCCAACCACAATGAGTTTGCTTCACTGGATACAAGTTCGCTGCATGTTCAAGATGCACTCTCCTGTAAAACCAAAGCGAGCAGAATGCGACTGTTGGATGCCGTCCCGGAAAAGGCGAACCGGGATATCAGAACCGCCGCTCGGTATGCTGCAGCGCTGTCACTTTGTAAACAACAAGCTCGACAATAAACATATTGTAAAATGAATGCCTCTATGACGGTGTCGATTTCTCTGCAGATGTTTATATCATACGTCCGCATGTCATATTGGTAGATTATGTGTACGCTGCCTTCTCTGGTTTACATTATTCTAAGTTATGAATGCTGACATTTGTTGCAGTAGAGAACCCCTGAAGGGACATAACTGGGGGGGAGTGGTATACAAGACAAAAACATCTGCGCACCAAACTAAGTTGTTTCCCGTTCCTGTATGTAATTTTCGCTGCCGCATATAGAGTTTCCTTCTGTTAGCCTATTAAAAGAGTCGTTGAAGTGATTCCTTTGACGACACACAACAGGAATGACTTAGCTTGTCAAACGCATTCTTGACATGCATCACATACTTACTATGCTGTGAAAAGATGAATGATGCTTTTATAATTCATCAATTTTTTTTTAAGTACAAGAAATTGGAAATCAGAAGCAATAAGAAAACATTGGCAAGCAAATATTTGCTACTATTTGGGATTTGGTGAAAAGAAAGTCTTGTCAAGACCAAGATGAAAAATTGCAATTTTCAGGACAAATAAGTCATCTGATGCACATGCATAATTCGCATAACTTTTCCAATTGATCTCATTAGATTGTGCAGGTGCACCTAATGATCTATACCCAGTGAATGTCATACAATTAAACGCACATTATTTCACTCACATGTGCAACTTTAAAATCCCATGCGATGTTGAACCAGATGTCAAAGTGGCGTGCTGTCCCTCAGCGACAGTATGCCTTTGTGGGGTGGCAATTTCACTCTCTCCTTAATTAAAGTCACTTGAGGAGCAACTACAGGTACTGTATATGCGCGCGCGCGCGCACACGCACACACACACACACACACACACACACACACACACACACACACACACACACACACACACACACACACACACACATGCATGGACAGAAAGACAGACATGCACGTACAGGCAAGACGGTTAATCACCGTACTGCTCACTTTTGTCATTTACCCACTCAAACAAACAAACGTCAGCGGGGACATTTCTCATCAGGCCTTTGAAATTAGCCGCCATTATCAAGTCTGCAATGAGATGCTGTAAACAAACCACCGGCCCAATGACGCTAACCTGAACTGAAATACGATGAAGAAATTGCAAACTAGCATAAGACAAAAATATTTTCAAGCCTTTGAAATATAGTGGCAAAATGCTTAAGCTACTATATTTAATTAAAGCCGCGAGCCGACAGAATTTTGTGCGCAGCCGTTCCTTAAGTGCTTTTCTTCTCTGTATTAATTTCATTATAACAGTGAACGTGGCCCCATCACTCATTTCAATTAGCGAACTCACGGCATATTAATGAGCACATTTTAAAAAGTTAAGCAACAACCCTACTTTGAAATGTCACTGTGAGCTGATTGTTGGTCATCAGTGGTGGCTGTCATTCATGTCATTTAAACCAAATAATTCAACACTTAATCAAGCGAATAATCAGCTGCAAGAGGCTATTACAGTATATATATATATATATATATATATATATATATACACACATTTAAATGGGGACCATGCTAAATAAAAATGTACGTTCGGGAAAATGTTATGATTTTTTTTCCCAATATAATGAAATGAGTACGGTAATTAAGTCCCATAAATAATGTTGAAAAGGTTAACATCCAAACTGTTTTGTTTTTCCACATTCTTCTACTGTTTTCTCAACGTTCTTATTGCGACACATGCTTAGTTACCTACTGCTCATCCCCTTTTAGGGATAATGACACTTGTCAGAAGTGTCGCTTATTCGCTGTGATGAAATTATGAGTGATTTAGAGGAGCGGGTGCGCACCTTTGGAGGATAGTGTTCAGCCGGCCGCAGTTCATATGTGATGCGGAGAAAGTTAGCTTAGCGCCGAGCATTCCCACGGAAGTTTCTCAAGGATGGTGAGATGTGCTTCAAGCCATTTTCACACTGCGGAAAGTACAAGCAACAAGAATTATTGCCATTGGTCAGTGGAGTCCATGTCTCTACCATTGGCCAAATGTATACAGTACATCGACTGCACATACCACGCACCCCGAATTGACAACATACGTACCCCAAAAATACATTTGGATGTTGTGACGAAAAGGAGAAAAATATGTGGAGATCGTCGAAAGCTGAAATATTTTAGGGGGATATATTCACACACACACACACACACACACACACACACACACACCTTCACCCTGAACCGTAAATACCTGTGCAAACTTTTCATATAGTATTAATAGATGTTCTAAACCTAACTTGAAATGGTTGTTTTAGTATGTTGGAAATATAAGCAAGAGGATATACAGTACATCTACGGTTCCTGGTTACTGTGGTTTGAGAAAGTGCACTGTGGCTGTAAAAGCTTGTATTGTGAATAAATAGAGAATTTTGTGCAATTGTCTACATAGTTTTCAGGAGAATACATTATGCTGTATGAGTAAGAAAAATGAAAATGGTTTTCTTTCATTTTTTTTCACAACGGGACTAGCTGTACCAAGACGGGGCAAGCATTGGTCCATTTGTAAATAAAGACAAAAAAAAACGCAGGAGCTTGAGTGAAACAACACCCACGTAGCAGTAAAACTGTGGTGCGGAGAAGTTTACATTCTCAGCTAACAGATTTAACTTGGTGCAACTGTGTTAGTGTTTCGTTGGTTTGATTCGGGAAGGGGAGGGGTCGCACGGAAGGCTGGAGACCTTAAACTGGCAATCAATGTACAGAAATTGCCATCGCCATTTTTCCCAGGATTTCATTTGTAACCCAACTTCTGCGAGCTGAAACGTGCTGTCCCTTCCATGTAACACATGGCCAACATGCATAATGTGAAACTGTTTGCACTGAGTCATAGTCCAGCAGACAGTATGCGAGCTGAGCTTTGGCCGGCATCCACGTACGCGACTGGAAAAATGCATGTAATTGGTAAAATTCTCTGGCTTCCATCAAAACTGGCCAGAGAGAGCCCTTGCGAGAACTATGCAGCGGGCGCAAACGTTTTCCTTGCTAATCCCATCTTGTGAGTATTTGGCAGCGAAGTGGCTTGAGTGCCACCAAAACAAAAGAAGCACATCTTGTACATTGTAGGAGCTTTTACGGCTCACGCGGGCAACCAGATCCACAGTAGCGTCAGCGTATGAATAAAAATGCATAGAATGAACACACAGTATGCACGCCTGCAGAGAAAGCTCAAAAAACAGACTGCATCCAATGCGGGCGTCGCTACCCTGGAGTGGGTTAGCCATCTGGACTAGGTTACATGCAATATAAAAAGCTCATTCAGATAGACAGTATATTGAATGTAGACGCAAATTTGGCTCAGCTTAGACCCGCGCTCCCACCAGTGCCACCACTGCTCCCAGTTTAAGTCTCGTCTTTAAGTCGTCTGACACCACTGCCATGAAAACTGACCATGATTCTCATATTTTAGTTTTGGATATTGATCTGAATGGTGGCGGAGGAGGAGGAGGAGGACGACGACTCACCACAGCTCAGCTTCATCTGTCTCTTTGTAACAATGTTCAGCAGGACGAACACACGGTCGCAGTTAATGGGGACGTGCTGGAGGATGTTGGTCTGGCTCAAGGCATGCTTCGGATCCTCTGTGGAGGAAACAAGGAGAGCCAAACTACATGAACAAATTACAAAAAGATGAAGTCCGTCTGCCTCAAACCCACGGTGCAACAAGTTAAATTGCAGCAAGCGTGTCTTTTCCCGTATATTTGAACTGGTTGAAGAGTAGCTACAGTCATTTAAACAGATTAGTTTGCACATCGATATTGCTGGACAAATCCAGACTGCAATAAAAAAAAGAGCAACTGGAAGAACACAGACCTCTGCAGAATACATAACAGTAGATTGTTACCTTTTAGATGACGACGTATGCTTGTGTGAAACTGTTCAAAAGTAAAACAAGGAAGAATGCGTAAGATTTATGATTTTGCCCTGCAGTTAATCGAGGTTGAAAGGAAAAAAAAAAAGGCAAAACACTGGATTAAGTCGTCATTAGTTTCACTCCGGCAATGTGTCGTGACAGTGAAGCAAAGTCGTTGACAACCACCACAGAAAGTATTGTCTTCATAGTTCTATTTCACTTTCTTGGTGACATCTTACAGACCATAGAACAAGAGAACAAGCATATGTCAAACAATTGAAATTGTTTTCTCTCATTACACAACATCAACTCTGCTTTCAATTTACCCTGTGCCACGCTAGCCGTTTAAAAACGATTGTCAAATGTGTCTTTCCGCTCACTCTAATTAACACCTCAAACAAGTTGGCCACAAGCCTTGTGAGTGGACTTGTAACAAATAGCATATGGGTCCCATTTTGCGCTTCACATCAGCAATTATTTGATTTTTTTGGGGTGGTGGTGGGGGGCACTTGTTTTGAAGGATTATGACAAAATGTCAATCTTCAGAGATCAATCAGACTCTGATTGAGACTGAGGTTCCCTTGAATGACACATGGCAGAACTTGCTCAAGCGGCGTTGGCGTCTCTTCTCACTTAAGTCCCGCTGGCTGAAGCCTCGAAGCCTGCACAGCCACTGGAGTGCGGAGACACTGAACATGAGTCCTAAATTACAGCCTTACTAAAGAAACAAAAACAAACCAATAGAGCGACCTGTTTCTTATTACCAAACAAGCCAAGCTGAACGAGCGGAGGAAAGCAACTTTTTTTTTTGTTGTCAGGAAAATGATATTTACCTCAGCTATACCTTCAGAAGGAGACAGTTTAGCCGCTGTTGGATTTTTTTTTTTTTTTTTTACACTTTATTGAGGCAATAAATATACAGCTTTTAACTCTTTAAAGGAGAGGCTGCTCTCAAACTGGTCGTTTATATGATTGGCTTTTATAGACCTGTCACCACCACTGAACATTTTTTGCTTTCTGGCTTGGGCTCAACTACATTTCGTCAAGCGCGTTGTGTTGCAAATTTTATGAACGAAACAAGAAGTGTTGGTAGGGCGGAAAAAAATTGAACATCATAATGCCGACACATGACCTAAATGAGTGTCAAAGAAAGGGAATCCGAATTGTAGGTCCAGATGTTTATGGCGTAAGAAAACAAACGAGGCTTTTATGCAACATCAGATCATTAATGCTTTTAAGTCATAAAGGGCGCAGTTCTTTATATTTCCTTGGTGACTCGAAACAAATCAATGGCGAAAGACAGGGAGTGGGTTCGGGGGACAGAATTCTGTAATGTGTCAGATTAAAGCAACTTTGACAAGTCTAATCTCAGTCAGAGGTTATTTAGGTTTCAAAAAACGGTAGTCGACTAAGTGGCACACACTCCATTCAGTGTTAGCTCGATGCACTTTTTTTTTCTCCGCAATATGTTTTTCAAGCAATTTACCACTTGTATGCAAGCCGCATATCTCACAGGCATCAGGGTATTCATTAACCTTTAAAACAGCAGACCTTTTAATTTTCCGACAAGACAACGTCACTCTAATTGATCCTTTCAAATATGAAAATTTACATATGTGCATAAATGATTGTCGGCAATGAACTGGCGCACGCCGTGGACGGCAACAATTACTGCGGCATTCACTTCACTCGTCCCTGTTTTGAGAGCGGGAGGTGCGCCCTCGCATTTCGAAATCACGCTTAATGTTCTCCTGGCTCACACATGCACGCGAGAGACTGGCTGGCATTAGATGAGTTGAAATCAATTAGCTAAATATCAAATAAGCAGCAGTTACAAAGGTCTTTACTTTTCTGCCGCAAGCTTCTTGGCGAACATTTAAAATGGGAGCGTGCACTCAGAGCGATAATGACATATTGTACCCATTTCACAGACATGACCAAGGACAAATTTAAAAAAATGAAACAAAAACAATTTTGCTTGTCGATTTGACCCCAAGATAATGTAACAACATGATAGAGATGTACCTGCCACCATTTTTATTTTATTTTTTGCACCAAGTCAATCGAGTTTCTCGGTATTGAGTGTTGGCTAATACCAGAGCCGATCCAATAGTTCAGCAATGCAGTAAAAAAGAATAGATAAATGTATCACTCAACGCAGTGCTCAACTTTGCTCATCTTAATTAAAAACAAAAACTGAAAAAAAAAAACCCCACTACTGATTAATTGCTCTGTCAAATGGAACCAGTGGAGCAAAAGTTGGGTTGTCGCAAAATAATTCACACTTGTTAGACTTCGACTTGAAGGTAAGTCGTTGGAATGCAACACTACTTTGGCCATACTCGTTTACTCCTGCGGTCGAGGCGGTTTTACAGACTTAGTTTGTTTTGTATTACCTTTCGGCTTGCCATGAATGTCGGGCTGTGGAAGCAAAACGTTTCCACATCTTACTCTGTGCCTTTTCTTCTTTCCTGAGCTGCAGAGGAACGCTAAAGTTTGGGCTCTCTGGGTGCAGAGCAGTCACGCAGAACACTGCATCAAGCCAAGCTCTGTTCAAAAAACAAACAAACAAAAAAAAAAAGCCCAACTTTACCAGCCCGCCGTTTGTCTGAAAAATACATGATAAGCCCTGAGTTCCAATCATGTGATCAGTTTGCAACAGCTCGACAGGATGAAGTCTTATTTAATGTTTACAGAAGGATTTTCCCGCAGTCAACATGACATAAAAAAAAAAATAAAATAAAAAAACATTTATCTTTACTACTTTCATATGGACTTGACCAAAATATCTATAAAACCCCAGCAAACAAATCATTTCAACGCAGCATAGATTTCCTACATGCATCTGGCAAACCACAACACTTGGGCAAGCTATCAATCAAATGTCAAATTACATGTTGCGGGTCTGAGTTGAGAAGTGGCGTGTACAGTAATTGGCCAAATTTACACCTGCGGAAAAGGGATCAAATATCAAGATTTATATTTTAGTGAGCCAGTTTATGTCATAAGTCATGTTGGTAGCTCATTGGGGCAATTCAACAGAGTGCGGGCTTAATGTCTTTTGAGTTTTACTGTGAAATAAAGGGAAAATTGGGGCATTTAAAAATGAGCTGAGCTCATAGACTTTCCTCAAGTTTGTCGGTGTTGTAATGCAATCCACTTCATGTCCTGCCTCTCCATGGCAACACAAATGCCCACATTGCACCATCAAGGAAAAAAAAAAAAAAGCATAAACATCCCTGTTGAGTGAACCCAATGAGGGCCCCCTTGGGAGAGACCAGGACCACGCAGTCTGGCCCTTATTATTGAAGGCCTGCTTCATGGTTGCATAATGAATTTCACAAATGGATCTTTTCATTACAGGACGGGTCAGTGCTAATAAGTGGGCTCTGAAAATCCATCTATCAAACCTATTTCAATTTCCAGGGAGTAGTTTTGAAATGACTATTTTCTATGCTGGCAATTAATTGCGTTGCTGATTAAGTTGGCACAAAAATCAATTAAAAGGATGAAAACAGGAGCATAGACCTCTGTGCAAAATGAAAGCACACATTGGTTAAAAATCTTTTTTTTTTTTTTTTTAAAGGCTCCCATGGTTTACATTCCGCACTTGGCTGACAGTGATCATATTTAATTACTTTTTAATTGTGCTGCCTTACTCCAGTCAAGTCAAGAACATTTGTTATTAACCAAGCAGGTAATTCTTTAAGAGCCGGGCTGGCTTGATGGCAAGGTAGGTGGAAAAGGGAACAAAAGCACGCTGCTGCGATTGTGGATTCACTATGAAAAACAACGCCAATACTTTGGCGTGTAACGCTGCTGAAATACGATCAAACGAGTGAGTAATGATTAATTCTCGGTGGCACATGTAAAGTACGCTCATATTTTATACTTCAGAGAGCTTAACAAAGCGGTCCACGCAGCATTGGCTTTCCCAGACTTGAATTGAAATTGAAAAGGATGAATATTTTTTTTTTCCCCACTCACATCAATTTACATGTGCCCTGTCTGTGTTTTGCCAGACGTAATCAGCATATTAGTGTAAGTGAGTAGTCTGCTGATCACGCTGGGATTGGATCAAAGTTTATAGCGTAGAGTCCGGACAAGATCCAGGGGGCATCTCTATGACAGAGCCGTTGCAATGCTTTTCTACACGCTGTACTGCAACAAGGGAGGAAGATTATGATGGTTGATTAGCAGCGCCATGTTGGCGGCAAAATGATGGGGTGGAAGGGAGGGGGTGGGGAGAGAAGCCTTACTTGTGTCTATGGAGACCAGACCCAAATCAAGCCACAGCCTCTCCCAACCATCAACTGCCATGGCAGGAGTCCAGTTCCTCCTGATCCATGTGCATAGCCTGCGATGAACTTGCTGATGTAATACTAGATTCATGGCATCTCCTCAGGGAGCCTGTTCTTGAAAGAAATTAGCGACAGTTTGTGTAAAGAATAAATCCCTGTGCTGCTGCATGAAAGAATGCCACAATGGTCACTGAAACAACAAAAAAAAAAGTCATAAGGGTGGAACAACTAAATACTTTGGAGTCCTGCGGTAGCTTTGTACTCGGGATGTTGAAGAAGAAAAAAAGAAAATATGCCAGAGGTAACAATGCAGCCGGAGAACATAACCGAGCCTCTTCCATGTTTCACAGCAGGTACCAAAGGTTCTTTTCTTTGTGTGCGTCATGTGCCGGATGTGACCTGCCAAAAAGTTCCAGGTTTGTCCCATCTGTCCAAGTGACATTCTGCCAGAAGCTTTACGGGAAAGTCATTTCTCAGTATATCCACGCTAGTTCTGTGATCATTGTGGGTCTTTCTTCCATTAACAGAAGGGTTTCCTGGATATTTGTCTCTCTCGGTAGGGGACCAAAAGAAATATTCCAATTGCTGAGATTGCTTTCACGAAGCCTTTGCGAGACTACACTGTAGAAAGGTGACATTGTTTGTGTTCCTGGGAAAGGCTTCAGTCTGAAATGTTGGGTAGCGACAAACAGTTCAGTGCAAAGCTTACTTTCACTATTATTGATATATTTGTGATTTACCAATGCTCACGTCCTTTTGTCTGTACAGATGATAGTTGGCAGTGGTATGAATGAAACTATAACATGCATATCACATAGTAGACTCTTGTAGGGAAAGGCAAAATCGGCAATTAAATGAATGGTAAGAGATCTCTTGATTGTATGGAGTCAATCGTTGATAAACAGGCAAGAAAGATGATTTCAGGCTTCCAAAGTTGACAATGGCAGCTGAGGATGCCAACAAGATATGTTGGCCAGTCAGTATATTCCAATTTTTTTTTTTTTTTATTAAACCGTGTCTGATCCTCGTCACCTAGCTGTTTTCCCTTCTCCTCGGGCATATAACTACGCTCCTCGCAACCCGAATTTAGGTCGGGAACGTTGTTTACAAGTAACGTAAATGCATGGTGTTGGATAGGCCCGGCTTGAAAGAAAGACAGCTCTCCTCTGCTGATAGTAGTGGAAAAGAGGAGCAATAATCCCCTGGATCAGGCATCTTGATATTATTACTGACAGTTTTCCACCCACCTAGAGTGCACTTGCACACGGACACACCCCTAAAGCAACACACACCCACACACACACACACACACACACACACACACACACACACTTAAAGGTGAGCGCTGCCAGTGGATATCTGTTTGGTGTCTCAGAGACGACACCCGCCAATCTGAGTGCAAAATGCCCTCAGCAGCTGGCAGAATGCTATTTTCCCAGCATGCTCCCTTAACCAAGTTTTTTAAAGTCTTCAGGAAATAGAAAACAACGGCCAGTTGAGTGAGCACAAAGGAATTAAAGACGATGAGAAAGACGAACATTTAAATCTATCGCAGAGATTCCTGTAAAAGGGAACCCTGACACTTCATCAAAATGTCTCGCCAGGAGCACACAGATGAAGAAAAGTCATTTGCACATAATAGTTTGACTCAACAGTCAATACATTCCTGAATTTATACGGCTGCCAAGTTTTGCTTCTGTTGCACTTGCTGGCATTGGAGTAAAATTCATCTCACACCGACCCTCCAAAAGAAAGGTAAGCGTGGGCAAACAGCTTGCTCTACGACCCCCTGCCAAATCCATCACCCCTGACTCATTT